TCAACACCCACACACAAGGTCATCCAATACTTACTTCCTCCTTTGTACTAAGACTCCCAGACTAGCCTAAATTAGCTAACCTTGTAAATGTTCTGCACACACACATACATGCCTGGTCAATGCCCACATAAATTGAGGTCAGTTAGGCAAGCATCGGAGCAATGCTTTGGAATAGAGCCCTTCCTGGACGCTGTCCCTGAATGTGGCGATGGATGGACTTTTCTCCTCACACTGTTACAGTCTACATTCTGACCGTGTCCTCTGAACACAGTTTACAACCAGGAACAGACGGGCTCCTGGGAAATCGGCTTCTCCTGGATGAACTCTGAGGGTTGGTACCTGGAGGAGTGGCTGGGGGCATTTCTCTTTCACAATCCATGTAGAGGCCTTCATTACCCTGCTGTTGAATTAGGTACTTCCCATGGAAGGGCTTTTGCCTCAGTCCTGGAAGCTCAAAAGACGTCTGTTTAATATTGAAATTGGATTGCTCTCAACTTGCTGTCTCTCATGCTTAGTTTGGGAAAGGACAGTGGCATGTTTAGTAAGAAGAGAAAAATGAGGGAGTAGAGAGGGAAGACGGGAGAAGAGAGGTCTCTGGAGGTGAGGGTGATAATCAACAGGAGGTGATACTTACTAGAGGAATGACAGATGAAATGCCCTGCTTAGGGAGGGATTCATTGTACAGTCTGGGACCCACTTTACTCAAGTAAAATGCTTTTCTGAAGAGCCCATGCCTGCTGTGTCCCAGCGTGGGGTTCCTATCTCAGATTCAAAGACCCACTATAGCGTATAAACACATTCTGAAGGGAAATCAGGGGAGGTGTAGACGTCACATCGTGCCAGGATTATTCATTTTTCTGCTTCCACTTTTTCAACTTGTATTTTTCTTTTTTCTTTTTTTTTTTGAGACATGGTCCCCTGCAATCCAGGCTGGCCTTGAACTTGCTATATAGCCAAGGTTGACCTTGAACTGCTAACCCTCCTGCTTCTACCTCCGAGGCATGGGGATGACAAGTATATACACACAGAGTGAATTTATGTCTTAGAGTTCAAACTAATGAGCATCTATTTCGAGAAGAGGGAAAAAATGTTCATAATTGGTTAATATCACCCAAATCTTGCTGCCATTGCTGGCGACAAGAGCTAGGTAAAAATAAATAAATAAATAGATAGAGAAATGAATAATCTGGAGTGGTAAGAAGGTGGTCTTAGCTCTTGGCTACTGCTCTCTGATCTCTGGACTTTTAACTCTGCATTTGACTCTGTGTTTCTTATTTAATAAGACCGTTTAGAATTACATCTACAGATAGATAGAGAAATAAATAAATAATCTATCTTCATAATGGTTTTTAATGCTTAAGGAACCAAAACAGACAAGAATTGTCCAGCATCATCTCTGTCTCTCAGGTGAGAAAAGGCAGAGCTACTTTGAGTTCGAACCTCTATCTACACTCAGTCACTGGCCCAGCTTTCCTTGAGTCTCATCCAGAGGCCGTGTCCAGCAGAGCGGGTTCCTTTCCTACAAACCTAACCCATTAGGCACTTTGCCTTCTGAGAGGGTAAACTGGTGCCGTATGAGGAAGGGTGTTCAAAACGCAAAATTAGAATTTGAAGTATGCCCTCACTCTTGCAAGGATGGGCACGGGGCAGTGACGGTGGCAATGTCCATCCTTAGAGGTCTCAGAACAAGAACACACACTCACCAGATGATACCAGCAAACGGAATTTGTCAGCCCCAGACATCAACAGCAGCCTCATGCTGACCTCTCTGGTTGGCCTCCAGGGAGGGGAATAGAACACTGACATTATAGAGTTGGAGAGAACTAAGGGAATGTCAGAGTGATAGAGCAGGCAGGCCATCCCAGGGCAAAACGTTCAGAGGAATTCATAAGGTTTGTGTGTGTGTGTGTGTGTGTGTGTGTGTGTGTGTGTGTGTGTGTGTGTTTTGTTTTTTGTTTTACCATGGGCTCATTTACTCTGTTGTTTGCATAAGCACTCATTTGTCCACCTTAGGTCAGATGAGATGCTATAGCTTCACTGGATACCATAATAACTGTACTCCTTACCATTTAGATTCAGACTGGACCTTCAATGCCCGGTTCAAACCCCACCTCTTCCCGGAAGCCATCTGAGATTAGACTCCTGTTTGTTCCCAGCGGGACACCTGCTGTCTTCCACTACTCATGTCCTCTTTACAAAGAAAAAATAATAAAATAAAAAGCCAGTGCCCTGAAAAAAGAATCCAGGCTATCTCTTCATCACTGAGCTGGTCTCTCTTAGTCAGGACTTTGAAATGGGATTTAAGGCTACTGTAAACTGGGTTATCTTCCACACACACTGAGATTTAAGCCATTTGGGTTTAAATATATGGAAAACAGTCTTCTCGGCTGTTGGTGATATTTACATTCAGCGTATAATAGGAAAATGCAGTTGGGGGAGAAGCATATGGGTAGCCATCTGGATTATTTGGGTATACTCTGTAGTAGGGGAGAAATCAGGAAGTGAACTTGGGTGTATGTGGGAGGGGGGGGCTGAATTAGCCAAACTGGCCTTTGCTGTCAAGTGTCACTCTCCATGTTACACTTTGGTATTTGAAGCCATCTCTCGACAACCTCTGTATCAAGTAGGCTTGAGAGACTTAGGGGCTGACTTCTCATGCAAAGAGAACAGAGTAGAGACGAGAGAGAGTTCCCCTTGGTTGGGATCTCCCAGCATCGACAGCAGCCAGTGTTCCTCAAAACAGTGAGCGACCTTCACTGTTTCTGTAGGGAAAGTGTGGGTAGGAAGTAGCCTCTCTCTCTTCTATCTCTGCTTAGGTGGTCACAGGGGAAGCATGGCCACCTCACCAATCACACACCGCTGGTTTCTCTGTGGAAAACAAAGGTGTTGTAAGAGGTTGACCAAAAATAATGGTGGCTTTTGATAATGTTCCTCTCTTCCATTCTTCCTTTTTAAATCAAGGACTGGGAATTCCCTCCCTTCCTTCTGATACCTGTTGTTTTTCAGAGAAATGTCTTTACTGCAAATTCTCACTCTTTTCAATGGAATGAGTCTCCGAGGCAAGCAAAAGACTTGTGCCCAAGTTGAATTGTAATCCAGAGGAAACCATGATTTACCTCCCTTGATAACTGCGGCATTTAAAAAGCTTGGACAACTCTTACTGTGTTTACGTAAAAACAGAAACAAACAAACAAACAAAAACAAAAACTTCACCTAACCAAATTCAAAATAGCCCTTTCTTGTTATTTTTGAATATTTCATTTCAGTTTTGTAAAATGTACTTATTTTCCTGCCCAATCAGGAGATTAAAAAAAAAATTGCCTCAATTTTAAGAGAATGATCTTTGTAGTTTTAAAAACAAGAATGGTTGGAAAGATTTTTCTCTTCAGATAGCTGTTCAAAAACACATGTAACCCCCCCCCACGTCCTTCCAGAGAGCACAACTACCATGCATGTGCATGCTCAAACACTTTTTTTTTGAAATGGCACAAATCTGTAAGTGAGCATTTCTAGAATTATTACGCAGCAGAAGCAGTGGGATTTCCTCCCAAGGAAATCTGCGTGGAGAGAAGTACTGAAGTCCAGGGATCACGGAAGGAAAGTTCAATACCCAAACAAAAGCAGTATTCCCATTACTACCCATTCTCTCACCCGGAGGAGAAACAATTAATGATTTGCATATGCTCATGACACAAATTAAAGACAAAAGACCCCTCAAGGGCTGTGGTTACTACGCAGATCTCAGCGTGATGCAAGGTTTTAGCCCTGCACTGCTCTAGCTCCAAATGAATAGCATTAAGCTCCATAACCAAAAATAGGGGTTGTGGGGCCTCTGGCCTATTCCCACTGTAGAATCCTGTTCCCCAATCAGAAATATCTCCCAGTCTCCCCCGTGAGCTTCTAGGCAAACAGAATGTATAGTCTCAAGGGGAAAAAAATAATGTATATACTTTGCCCTTTTTATTTTAATGGCCAAACATTGTAATGCTAGCTAAATAGAAATTCTCATCTGCTAATAGGTTCCTTTAGTTTGTAATAAATAGGAATGCTAATGACTAAAATTTGGTATTTGGTATGCATTAGCTTTTGCGAGCTTTTCTTTACAGCCCTCATTGACATGCAATATGGCAAGCTTCCTTTGAAACATATTTATAAAATAACTACAGTATAATTAAACCAACAAAGCATCTTTTAAGGAAGCTTAATAGCTCAGGTTTTTTTTTATCTCAGTAAAAATTTTATTTTAAAAGGAAAAATAGTTATGCCTCAATCCCACTGTACATTTTATTCTATGCATCTAATATTTCCTTTGCAGCTACAATCTGTGCATATCTAATTCTTTTTGACAACCATGATTATTAATAAAGAGCTCATGAAAGATATACTTCATAGCTTCTTCAACAAGAATAATTTTTTTTTGTTAATGGAAATTGTAACATATCTTGACAGATACAATATATAAGATGTGATTCTTTTCCCCTTAATTGTTAATTTTGCTGTGCTGAATACAGCCGATATGGCAGGTGATAATCAGAGTGGATGCTGTTTTATACAACGTAACCAAAAATATTTTAATGATATAAAAGCAACAGATAAATAAAAGGCATTATGTTTGAGTTTGCTTCCCCGTGGCCGCAGTTTTTGTTGTTGTTGCTGCGGCTGCGGGCTTGTTTAACAGAAGAAACCAGGAGCTGCAGCACGCCCCTTCTCTACCCTTGGCCGCTTCAGAATTCCGAGTGCGCAGGGCCCGGTTGAATGCAAAATCGGGATACACAGAGGCTCAAGTTCGCCGAGTTTTGTGCAGTTTGTAAGCCCTTCCACTCTCCCCAGAATTCCAAAGATACCGAGGCGTGGGAGTGGAGCCGCTCGAGCTTCCTCAGGCCGCTCCTGCGCCCCTGGGATCCCTCTGCTCTTTTCTCCCTTCTTAGGAAACTCCGTCGTGGTGGCCGAGGAGCTGCGGAATCCTCTAGGCAGCCCCCCTGCGCAGAGAATAAACACAGTTGACACCACTGTTATAATCTTTATTTAAAACAGTTTCCAAGGTTACAAATTGCAGTGCCTCGGATGCAACAGGTTCATCCGAAGCGGTATCATTACAGATTAACTGTAATGTGTAGGATTAAAATAAAAACATAAGGGATTAGGTAAAATGGGCGATGCTTGAGAAATAACGCCCGAGCGCGTCTCTACTGCGAGTCCGCAGAGAGAGCCTGAGACGACGCTGGGCGTTGGGATGCCGCCGCGGCGCACAAAGCTGGACCCTGGTTCCGCGAGCGGTCTGGAGTGGTGGTTCTGGTAGGGCCATCGCGGTTAGAGGGTGAGGGGTAAGGCTTCTGGAGCACCAGGGAGGAGACACTGGGCTCCCGAGGATGGGATAGGCCAAGGGCCAGGGAGACTATCCAAGTGGACACCGCAGGCAGGCCTGTGATCCGGCTGGGGGAGACAGGCAGCGCGACACCGGGGACACGGCTCCACTGCCTCGCGAGGTATCCTGCAAGAGGTGAGGGGGGGACAGCAGACCCACAAAGGGCCATTGGTTTTGTAGGTATGACTGACGTGGCGTTCAAGGCCCAAGCTTGATGGGGTCCTACATGGAGTCCTTCGGTTAGCTCCACCGTTATCCCCACTCTTTGGCCACGTCCGAGGCCCAGAAGCCGCCACTCAAGTCACATGCGCCCCTCTGAGCCCAGATCTTGGGCCTTCACAGCCCGCTGAAGCCCTGAACTGTTCCCGCCCCCCCTCCCCCTCCCCGATGTCCCTTGTGCCCTCTGGCTCCAGGAAGACCCTGAAGCCCTCCTGTCCCCTCTGCTTCCTGCGGGGCCAGAACTCGTGGCGAGGCGGAGGCTGGACTGCGGCCTGAGCTGGGCCACGGCCTGGGGCAGCCTCGAGGGCTATTTGTGCGTCTGGGTGGAGGGCTCGGGGCTGGAAAAACAAACAGGACCAGGGCTCAGCGTCTTGGAGGCTGGCTGGGGGCTGGAAGGAAGTGTGCAGTGTGACTAGAGAGGGAAACAAAGCCAGATCCCCAGCCCCGTCACCCCGCAGTGACCCCAGACCCGCCCCGCTGAGTCGCGGGGCTCCTGGGCCTTTACTCTGACCCGGTCGCGCAGCTCCACCAGCCCACGACGCCAGGTGCTCCGGGGACTCCGGGCCACGGCGGCCGGCCGCTGCCGCCGTTCCATCGTCCGCACTCCTGCATCCATGGAGACCCAGCGGGCAGCCGGGCCGGAAGGCGCGATGGCCAGAGCAGCAGACAAGAGAAGCCGCCGCACCCCTCCACGAACACTAACCGACCAAGGCTGAGGGGAAACGGTGTAGATACCCTCCATCAGAGAACCAGGCGACTCTGGGGTTCGCTAAATAGCCACAGCGGTGCAGAGCAGCCAGGGAAGAGGCGAGTGAACTCCCAGGTGGAAGAAAGTGGGCGAGCAACTTCACTCCAGCCTGCCAGAGACGGGCCCTGGCTAAGGCGGCAGCGGGACGGGGCTGTTGCAAACAGCTGTTCCTCATACATATTTCATTACACAATCAGATAATGCGTCCCACTACCTTCTCAATTATTCACAGATAAACATTTTCAAGACGTTTTGACATCTGTCTTGGTGCCTGCTATTAATTTAGTAATCACTGTAGTTAAAAATGTATGGGATTTTTTTTCCGTCGGAGTACCTCCTCTCTAAGCGCGAGCCCAGTGTCGGGCTGCGGCGGAGCCCCGGCCCTCTGGGAGTGAAGACACCTTGGGAGGTGAGACGCCGCCGTCTCCAGAGCGTTGACACTGTTGTGGAAAGGATTAAAGGGGTATCTGGTTATTTTAATTTATTGTTGAAGGTAATGACTGCCCTATCACACACACCCCGGTAATATCCTATGCCAACTCTAGACCCACAAGGGCGGTTAGCCCTTTGCCTTGGGCAGCGGAAATAGTTTGCTTCATCTAGGCAGCACGAGTGTGTTGAGAAAGTGTGGGCAACCCAATAGGAACGCATACATGCATACACATATATGCATTGACCTGTGTGAGACAGGTTATCACTGCACAACACAAACCTAACAACTGTGGGTGCTAGCAAAAGGTCACAAACCTCCCAAGTTTTGCTCCTAGTTCTGTGACAGAAGGCACAAGGGTAAGAAAGAAAAATAAATTATGTCCAGTGAAGTATGTGGAGCCTTCGGGGTTGTGAGAATACAGATCTTTGCTTGAGAGGTGACTGTTCCAGTCTTCCACCTAAACCCACATAAACACATTTTTTCAGTTAGAAAATTATTGTGAGACGGAAGAGTCAGAGCAAACATTTCCAATTCTCAAGCGCTGGGATGCGTTGTGAGGAAGGCTCTAAACTACCCAAAGAGGTAGAGAATGTTCAAAGGCAACCAGTTCATTTCTTTGTGTTCCGAATCTTAGCTAGAAGAAGGAAGGAGAGTTACACTTTGGCTCTGAGGGGGATGCCTCCTTATTCAGTTCACTCTTTTGATCGCAGCCTCTTCCTGAGGTGCATCAGCAGGTGATTCAAATTTGGGCGTGAGGGGGGAAAAAAAAACCCGACTGGAGAAAAAAGCTTTGGCAGCAACTGCCCTGCCGATGAAGAGGAAGATTACATGGACTCTAGGGGCGATTTTCACAATTTATTGTTCAAGACGCAAACAAGAACAAATTCACTAATGTGGCCAGGAACTAAGTGTGTCTCGGAAAAGTGAAAAGAACTGCTCCCCAAAGGGCAGAAAACCTTCTCTAGTCACACCCCTCGGGCACTTCAGGGGACGGTTACATCTGTTGCAGTGTGCCCTGCAACAGTGTTTGGGGGTCATTTCCTCTTTACGACAGCAGCTCTCTTTTGCCCCTTAGAGAGCAGTTCCTGGGCTTGTTGGCCTAGGAGCTAGCACCCCCTACCACCCCTTTTCCTCCTTCCCTTCCTCCCTCTTCCTTGCCATCCTTTTCAAGAAATGGTCCAAGACTTCACTCCTACTACTTTCAAAGAGGGAGGCTCAGAAAATGAGCTGGAGAGAGCAAGTTGGAAAAGGCGATGTGGGGAAGGGCACCATTGCTTGGAACAGTCTCTGACTCTTCTATCGGGAACTGGGGCAGTATGGTCCAGGGCAGGCAAAGGAGGTGACAGTAAAAAGAAGTTTGCACACTTATTAAATCTAGCCCCCAAACCACTGTGGGAAACCCTGTTGGTAGACTCACAGCCAGGCCAGGACCTCAATCTCTGCCTAGAATAGAGGAGCCATGGTTGAAAACTTCTCAATATTCTACAAAAGAATCTTAGTTAAATAAAGAATTTAGCTTGCACTAGCACATTCCTTGCAGATAGTTGATACCCTTGGGGTTGGGGAGAGCTACTGTTCTCTTCAGATCTCAGAAGAGAAAAAGAAAAAACGAAAGGCCTTTCCACATCTGGAAGCTTCTTTAGAACTGAATGTTCCCATTGGAAATTGAGACTCCCCTATCACCTGGCGAAGGCTGTCTGTGCTGGGTACTCAAGCCCTACTCTGGAGCACAATCTCCCAGGCAGAGGATGAAAAAGACACCAACCAAGAGAAATAACTGAGTCAAAAGGAATCTTTCCTGTATTGCCCTCTTCTGGGTGTCTCCAACAGAGCAGGTAGGAGAGTCCAAAGGCAGGCTCTGGGTAGATGATTCCTTGGCTCTTTCTTCAGAACGTGGCCTGAAACTTTACTTCCAGAAGATTCGGCAAAGTTTCTTCCTCCACGGACAACATACCTCCTGCAGGAAGTACTGCATTCCAGTTGAGCCTACTCTCCTTGGCTTCCTGCACATGGGTGCCTGTGTGTCTGTCTTCATGTGGGCACTGCAGCTTTGTCTGCATCTGGACAACTGGGTGTGTACCCATGCATTCGACCCATGCATGTGGACACTTTATTCCTCCAGCTCTGTTGCTAGGGCTCCTTAATCCTCCTTAAGAGTGTTCTGGCACAATTGCAGTGCAAACACCTTCTGTGAATACCAGTTGAGGGCGTGATCCCAGAGATCTGTGTTGGTGAGAGGATGTGTGTGTAAGGGTAGGTTGCCGACTTTGGGTGGGCTGTAAAGGTTGGTAAGTTTCCCAGTTCCGGGTACCCTACGCTCCCCCCCCCCCCGCCCCCGCACCTTCATCTATCCTAATGAGTAGTGACCTTTTTCAAGCAGGAGCGACCCTCTGCCATCCCACAGCATGGATTCAGGAAAGGTGCGACCAGCCTCTAGAACCTCCCCCTGGTAGACAGTAGCTCCGAACAGCCAAAAAAAGGAAAGGCAGAGTGAAGTCTTTCGACTTTAGACTTTAGCCGCCCGGCATCCTAGCCACGTTCGCCCCGTGACGCCCTGGGGCTCTGGAGAAAACAGAGGCTCAGTGGTCAATGTCAGGGAGCTTCCAAGCGAGCTCTCTAAGAGTGAGGAGACCCTCCTTCATAGCATCCGTGGAGCAGCTGCAGCACTTAGAACTACAAACTATGAGGGCCCGCCCCCTCGGCTCCTCCTCTAGCCCACACCCCAACTCTAAGCGCCCAGCAGGAGGGCCAGAGCTGGAGTCACTTTCTCCCCCTAGGCACTTAGGGACCAAGCCACTTTTTTAAGGTCCCTAGAGGGACCTGAGGGCCTGAAAAGCAGAGGCCAGAGTACTGAAAGCAGTGATCACTAAACAACCATAGGCGATGTATTCCTCCGCCTACTTCACGTCTAGGGCCTGGCCAGCTGGTGCTCTCATCCTCCCGCGAGAGAGCAGGCATGGGGCGTGCACCTTGAAGGGTGTTGCGCACGTGTTCTCGTGCGATTGGAAGCGGCTTCATGGAATCTTCTAGACGTGATTTTTCCGTGATTGAAGCTGACTTGCGACTAACTTCAGGTAGTGTATTCCTAAAGGACGAATATCAGTCCGACTGTCGGCCTGGGAATGTTGCCTACGCGTTCGCACTGAGTGAACCCACTTATCCCCACCCCACCCCAAAGCGGCTTGGCTGGCCCAGTGAAAGGGCCAGCCTCTGCCCCCACCCCCGCCCTGAGATCTGTAAGGCTGAAGTTCTTAATGCTTACTCTAAAGATCTGACTCAAAGGTCCAAGCTATTTCGTACCTTTGCAGGGTCAGGAGGGAAACCCTACGTGGGAAAAGGAGATCTTCATAACCACCCCATATCCACTTCAGGGAGGAGTTCTAACTTTGACACACAGGACCTTCGGACCTACTGCCTTGCCATCTCACTCCCGACCCAATCTGTGATCTGGACTGGCGGCAGCAGCGGGGCGGGAGGGCTGGTGGGGGAGATGGGTTGACACAGGATGGAGGTGGAAATGGAAAGGGGGGAAGAAAATAAGCAAGACCGGGTGAAGATGTGCAGATGGGTGAGAATGATGTGGAGAAGGAGTTGGGGTTGCATCGCAGGGCACCAATTATTCACCCTTCTATGGAGAGGTGCGTCTGGCTGCTCCGTTACTCCCCCCCCCCCAATAAAGCTAATGATGTAGTAATTTAGGAGGGGTGAGGGGCTGGGCGAAAGGAGGGAGGGGAGAGGATTGGGGGGGGGAGAGAACGCGCGCCCCAAGAGCGAAAGCAAACAGCTAGCTGTAGAGGCGCTGCCGCAGTTCACACTTCCCAACAGGTTAGCTAGCCTAGGATCCACCCGGTATTTCGCAGGAAGGGGGGGGGGGTGTGAGATAGCTCGCGGAGGGGAGAGCCTTCCTGGAGGACAGAGGGAGGGAGAGAAAGAGATAGGAGCGAGAGCGCGCGCGCAGAGCCCTTTGAAAGGACTTACACTTCCTAATGAATATTTATCCGCCGCTACTACACGCTCCCGGCTTCTCTTACCTTACGGCAGGTAAGATCCCCCCTGCTCCCCTACCCTGGGGGATCCTCCTGGCTCCCCCGACTCGGGCGCGGGTGGTCAATTTTTGGGCCGGCGGGGTGAAGTGTGGGGTGTGGGGTAAGGTGGCTTCGCCGCCGTGTGTGCGATGGGCCCGCACGGCCAACGGAGTGTGGGGGCTCCCTATGTGGGGAGAGGGAGAGGAGGGAGAGAGAGAGAGAGAGAGAGAGAGAGAGAGAGAGAGAGAGAGAGAGAGAGAGAGAGAGAGAGAGAGAGAGAGAGAGAGAGAGAGAGAGAGAGAGAGAATTGTGCGCCCCCGAGCGCGCGTCTGCTCCAGGCGCGCACTAAGGACATATTTTCGGACTTTTCTCTCGGACGCCCTGAATCTCCTGCCTTTGCCTTTCTTCGGTTCTCCTCCCTCCCTCTTTTGGCCTCTTCTTCCTCCTCCCCCACCCCTCCGGTCCCCTTGCTTGCAAAACCGCTCATCTGCACGGCTTTGTGCGGCCGGCGCGCATCCCTCCAGGCAGGCTCTGGCATCTCTCACAAAGAGGATGAAGAGCTCATTTTCCGCTGTAACCCCTACACCGAGACCGCTGGTCAAGGGATCCCTCGACCCCCTTCCTGCGAGTTCTGCTCCTGAGAGTCTGCCGCCCGCTCTCCCTCTTTCCCCCTCTTGGGGCGCAGGGGCTCAGTGCAAGGAGATGAGAGATGAGGGTGATGGTCGATGACTGGGACTCCCGAGTACTGGGTTGAACTTCACGAGGGGTCTACTACCAGGAACTGAGAGCCAGAACCCCCTCCCATGGTAGGGCGCTAGTACCCCACCCACCCCCTCCACCATTGGCGGGAGGAGCCCGGCGAACTCGGACCCGCCTAGGGGGAAAGAGGGAGGGGAAAGGGAAGGGGTCGGGGAGGAGCTGATGATTTACACAGAATTCTTTAAACAGACTTACCCAGCCACCTGTTGAGAATCAGTCTGGGGTCGGCCAGCTCCGGATCTGCTCCAGGTGGACACACAAAAACAAAAAGCCAAGTTGGGAAAATAAATTTCTTTGGCTAGGCTAGGCTAGGCAGGTTAGGCTCACAGCCCTGCGCTAGGGTTGCAAGGCGGTTAAGATCCAAGAGGGGGCTTTGCTACAAGACCCAGGACTCGGCGTCCGTCCCCAGCCCCATACCTCCTCAGCTCAGAGGCCAGGGACTCTGAGCCCGTGAACTCGGCGCTCAGAGCTCAGCACCCTCAGTTCAGCTTAAGCCGGGGCAGGCCTTCTAAGCCCTGCTCAGAAGTCAAGAGCAGCAGCGCCGCCGCTCCTCGCTGCCTTTCATGCAGCAGCCGCTTCTTATTCTTGTGTCTCGGCCTCTCTGGGCGCCCCGGGACAAAGCCCCCAGAGCCCGGCCGCTCCCTTCGCGCTAAATCCCCTTCGGGGTCAGTGCGCTACCAGCACAGGGCCGCACGCCTCTCCTGCTAGCTGCCCGTGTGGCTCTTAAAGAGCCCCACACCCCTCCGCCCCGCGTGCTCCTCCGACCCCCGCCACCCCTCCCCTCTCCTCCGGATCTAGCCCCCCACACCGACGCCTGAGGTCCCTGCTGCCCCGACCCAATGCCCATGGACTCACAGCCCCCTCCTTTCGCCTCCTCCCCTGAGCAGCCGGTGGGGCCGCGAGCTGAATTCCACCCTCCGGTTTAGGTCTCTCTTCACTCCAAGAGCACCCGCCCCTGCTTTTGCCCTTTGAATGGATCATGACCTGGGCACTACCTTTGCCCAGCTCAGAGATGATCCTAGAATGTCTGCCCGGGTTTGGTTTAGGGGGTCGTGGAATGGAAAAGGGGCTGGGCACGGGAGTGGAGCTGAATGGAAGGAGGGAAGAGAGGAGGGGCCGGTCAGATAGACTCTGAGGCTCTGCTACCCCAGGACCTACACTGGCCTTCAGCAGTCCTTGAAAACTGGCCTTGAATGAGGACCTGGGGTCAGCAGTCTCGGCCTGCTCAATGGAAGGGGAGGGTTTGTGATCATATGGAGACTAGAGAGTCCAGAAGGTCCCGAGTGGAGAACTGAGCGTTCCCTGCTTCTAAACCCTGTTTAATAAAGACCCAAGAGCTAGGTGCACAAGAAAGGAGTGGGAGGGGACTCTGAGTTCCAAATGTCCCGGGGAAAGGACGATGGAGGAAAGAGGGGTCAGGGGAAAAGTCAATTCTTTCCGAGGAGTGAAGTACAATTTCTAAAGATTGCTTATATTGACTACTCAATCATGCCCCTTGGCCCAAGAAGAGAAGCAGATGATTGTCATAGCGGATGGCTGTGTCCACCCCCTTTCTTCCAGAATTCTCCCTCTTTTCTCCTCCAGGTTTGTATTGGGCCCAGTCGTGCCCAAGGAGAGTGGCCTTGCCTGGGGTGCCTTCTTCAGGCCTCTCCAGGGCTAGAAACATGATTGAAGAGAGATTAGAAGAGGGACAGTGTGAACCGTCAAGTCAGGCTGTGGTGTCCAGGTTACATCAGTGCCGACAGGTTACATCATGTCTCTGTTTGGGCTCCGTGGTGGTGCCAACAGTGTCGGTTTGGGGAGCTGACCCTGCCCACCCTTTCTCAAATGCAGGCCCAGGGTTCCAGTTGTCAGGAGATTGGTGGGAAGAAGTGTGAGGCCTCCTGGGGAAATGAGACCAAAGGAATTTGAGGAAGGGAGGTGGATAGCTGACCCTCCCCTGTGAATCCCTCCTTCTGACACGCCAACACTGGTCCAGATGTACTTTTAAGGAACTGGGGTGGCTAATTGATTTACAGCTGGCCCTATGGGGAAAAGTTCGAGGTAGACAGGGATGTGCTAGATCCAAAAGCTGTAAAAATCCACCTCCTTACTTCCCCGGACACATAACCATTTGTAGTTCTCGTCCCCCGAGTGTCTAGCTCCTTTCTCCTGGGGCTAGATCACTGTGCAGCCAGCTAGACTGGGTTTGTGCCCACCCTCCAGGGCCTGGCGGTGGGAGGTGTTCAGGTCCTAGACAGAGCCAAACCTCTCTTGTTTGAGGATGTGGGGGGTGGAAGGGCCTTTAGCGGGCGGCGGGGCTCATTAGGCGGAGCGGGGTGCCGAGAGGTGCGCGCTGCCGGCCCCAGAGGCCGCCTTTGAGCCGTCGGGGCGGCTTCATTAAGCAGCGTTAACAAGGCGTACAAATGCCGGGCCCAGCAGCTTTCTTGCAATGCTGGGGCCTTAGCAGGGCGCCAGGCTAATGAGGGTCACTCAAAGGGGCTGATCAAATATTCAAATTTCCCCTCACGCCGGGAACTTTTATGCACCAGGAAAGTTGCGGCAACTGAGCTGTGTTTACTGTCCTGAGCCACAATTGCTTGAAACCCGGGTCCCCGGAGGCTAAGGAAGGGAGGGAGCTGGGAAGGGGGGGGAGCAGTTGTTGTTGTTGTTATTGTTGTTCAAAGGAAAGTAATCGGGGGTCCTTCAAGGGCTTCGAGGCCTCCCCGCCCGAGGACTGCGCTCCCCTGCGCCCTCCCTGGCGGCCTGCGCCAAGCTCCTTCGTTGGCAGCTTGCGGGGAGGCCCAGACCACCCGCTGCCCAGCAATCTCCATCTTCCAACGTCCTACAGCCCGGAAGAGGCGTTGCCCCTTCAGGACCAACCTTCCTGACCATTTGGGTCGGCAGTTCCGGATTAAGCAAGGAGAACTGGGTGTAGCTGTCCCGGGCCTTCTGGGGCAATCTCTCCCGCAGACCTGCGGAACCCTTGGCATACCAAACAAGGAGGGAGTGGGGCTCCTGCAAAGTCCCCTGAGCCTTTCTCAGCGCTGTGGTTGGAGCTGACATTGTAAATAAGTGCCTGGCAGAGCACCATAGAACATTCCACTGTTCAAATGCCCCCATTTCTCCCCGCACCAACTGAACTCTGAATCAAAGATTCGGTAGGCCAGGGTTGAAGGTGATGGCAATTTTGTGTGTGCAGGTGACCTCTGTGGGTACCAAAGCCATAGATCCGCCAAGTCCCAGATCCTTGAGTCTCGGAGGCCAGAAAGAAAGAGAGATCTAGAGGCCCTACCGGCACCGGCTAATTCACCCCGGTCTTGCGGCTCTGAGAGTATTGGGATGCAGGAGATCCTCAGAGTACCACTTACTCTGGAAAGTGCCCTGGGTTCTTCCCACACCAGACTAGCGAAGAAGGCAGCCTGGGTCCTTTGCACCGGCCTGGGTCCTTTGCACCGGCCCCTCTCCCCAGAGCTCAGTGCATGAGAATTTGGAAAAACTCCAGAGGTCCACAGCAATCCCCCCCAAAAATGCGCACACCCAAACCTTTTAGGTCAAGACCCCACGGATCACCAGGGGGGATCCAGACCTGCAATAAGCATCCGGGACCATCCGCCCCGCCTCCCTGCCCAGCTCTCAGGACTCTCAACTTACCGGCTTTGGAAGCAGCGTATTGCTTCCGGCCTGAGCCGGAGAAGCGCTGGCGGCAGTGTGGCCAGGAGGTGGGCTCAGAGGGCTGCGCACAACCCTCTTCTGCGGAGAGGCTCTCCGACAGTCGGGGCTGCAGCAGGCCCGGACCGGGTAGGGGCGCACTCAGAACTGTGCGCCTTGCCTGCGCCCTCCACCCGGCTGAGCGCTCGAAAAGGCGCGGCCGCCACCGAACTGCCGAGCCCAGCGGGCCCACGAGCGACCAGGCAGTGGCTGGAGTGCAGGGCTGTTCCCGAGCAGAGTCTGCAATCCTTTTGCCTCAATTCTTCCCGAGTGGCGAGGGTTTTCGATTTCAGCGCTTTCGGCACAGCCCGCGGCACCTGCCCAACCTCCCTCCAGGCCTGGGTTCCCCCCCAACTCGGAGGCGGGGGGTTGCGGGGATTGGGAGGGACTGGCCGGGTTCACCCGCCCGCCTGGCGCCTGGGTCCCCGGCTCCGGGGGATGCAGTTTCGGGGTCACGAGCTGCTTTCAAAAAGTTGAACACAATATTCGGAAACCCACCCGTAGGAATTCTCCCCCCCACACGCGGCACAATACCCACTCTCCTCCCCTTTTTCATTCCTTCCTCCCCCCGCTTCCTCCTCCTGCCCCTTCTCCCTCCCACCTTTCAGCCTATAATCCTTCCCTTACAAGAGAAAGGGGTCGGGGAAGAAAAGACGAAGTGTCTGTTTTTGTGTCCCAACCTTTGGGCTCTTTTTGGGCCCGCATTGAGCGACCGCCCAGAGCCTGGCAGCTGAGAGGAAAGGGACTCCTGGTCCACAGGAAGATAGATGTACGGAGAGAGAGAGACCGCCAAAGTGGGGCTCGACGGACCCACCTTTTGGGGGAAACATTCTTCCCCCCCTAGTCAGCGAATTTAGGTTCCCCCACCTGCCTCCAGCTAGAGAGCCAGTATAGTCCAACCTAAACACTCCGAGTCACCCTCAAACCGGCCCTTTGGGACCTGGCGCTGCTGGATCAAGGCCTAAGAAAGACCCGAGCTTGAGATTTAAGGCCTGCGACCGTTTTAGCTCCAGGCTCCAGTTAGGTCCACATTTAAATTCTCCCACACTCTTTTTCACTCCCTCACTGAGATCTCCCGAGTGGTGTGTACCCGGCGCCGCGCCCCCAGATCTGCATCGGAATGTAGAAAAGATCTTTAAAAAAAAAAAGTTTTGAATTCCTCAATGATTTTTCTTCTAGAAAGGCAGCTTAGGATAATTATTTCAGCTTTATTGAGAGCAGATTAGTTGAAGTCTGGGCGCTGAGTTTCAATACGCGTTGTACATGGGCCGACAATGTGGGCATTGTTGGCCACTGTGTGTGAATCCATTCAACATATACACTTTTTAACACCAAACCGAATCCTGTCTAAATATACACAGTGCGTAGGGAAAAGATGTCTCTGACCCGGACAAATCTGCGTAAATCACACTTCCATAGTTACAGAAGCTTTACAAAGGGAGGCTGGACCCAAGATGCAGATTACAACTTCTCACAAGCAACGTGCCTAAGAATAAATAAATGCTCACGGCTGCCTTGGGGGCTGTAGTAGCCCCTAGGCAAGGAAGGCCCTCTACGTTCTTTAGAAGAGGCAGGAGTCTGTTTCAGGTTTGTGATATTATCTTACCTATGGAGAAATCAGACTTTTATTATTTGTTATTATAATTATTTACATTATGAGCAAATAAGGAGCTTTCAGGCCTTGGGTGTTTACTCAGGGTGCCCTCTACAGTTCCAGCATCTTTCTGAGGATGTTGGGCAGGCCCAGTAGTTGTTCCCATGAATGCAGAAAAAGTGGGCATCCTCCAGACTCCCCATGGTCCAGAGAGTCCCTAGGTTTCTGTTTCTACTCTACAACTGGGGGAGGCAGCTGAAGTCTGGGGGTGGGGAAACAAAGAACGGGATTGCTTTTGAAGATGGAGAAAGTGTAGTGTTGTTTCCACAATTTTAAATACATGGTGATGGAAAAATTCACCGATCCTTGTCTGAGAGCAGAGTGAAGAACTGTACAGTCAGCACGGAAGGAGGCGCGTTAAATGCAGTTAGTTCAGTGGCACTGTCCTGGGTTCAACCTCCTGGGCACCAGACATCATCTCCCAAATCTAGGCTCACCCGGCGTCTTGCTAGGGTGACTGTGCAAAAGGCCTTATAATCTCCTCTCTTCTTACTTCCAGACAAGTATTAGCGCTCACATAGACAGAAAGAGGTGACTGAGACACGGTGTGCAAACCTGGCCGGGCCACCTGGTCCTCAGCCTCTCCACAGACAAGCTGCCTGGTGCTCCTGAGGCTGGGAGCCCCTTCGCTTCCCCAAAACACTCCTTGTGACTAATTGCTTGTCTCATCCAACTACTCTATGGCTATTCCTTTTCGAATTTTTTTTCGATCAACTTCTTTGAGCAAGGAGAGAGAGAGAGAGAGAGAGAGAGAGAGAGAGAGAGAGAGAATATTAAGAGTTGCAAAGATTTTTTTTTTAATTCTGTTTCGCCTTCTTCTCCCTCCTCCTCCCCCCCCCCCCTCCGGCTAAGTGGTAAAACCGTCCTTACGTTCTCGGTATTGATTGGCAGGGCTGACAGTGATTGGCAGTGGTTGCCGTGGCAACGCCACAACGACACGCCGCAGACCAATAGAAAAGCGAAACAAAATGTTTCAATGCTGCACTCACTGTGGATTTAGGGGAGATATTATGAGGCTGTTGTCATTAGGGCGATTGCTGTGGAATCGCTGAATCTTGACTCGGCGGTGGTTGGCTCTCGCTCTCCTCTCGCTCTCCTCTCTCTCCCTCTCCCTCTCCCTCTCCCTGCCTCGGGTTCTCTCTCTGCGCGCGCGCACCGGGTCGCTCTCCTTCCTCCCTCTCTATGTGGCTGCGCGGGTGTGTGTGTATGTGGATGTGTGTGGGGTGTGGGTGTCCCTTACGTCCTTCCTCCTCCCCCTCCTTCTCCTTCTGCTCCCCCCTCCTTTCCATCTCCTCCTCCCCCCTCTCCTCTCCCTCCTCCTGGTCCTCATCGCCCCTCTCCTCCTCTTCCTCCCCTCTCTCTTCCTCTCCCTGAATTTTCTCCTCTCCTCTCAGGTCAGTCCATGGTATTCCGCTCCCCCCTAGACCTCTATTCCTCCCACTTCTTGTTGCCAAACTTCGCCGATTCTCACCACTGCTCCCTACTTCTGGCGAGTAGCGGCGGCGGGAGCAGTGCGGGCGGCGGCGGCGGCGGCGGCGGCGGCGCGGGAGGAGGCGGCGGCGGCGGCGGGAACCGTGCGGGAGGCGGCGGTGCTGGCGGAGCAGGCGGCGGCGGCGGCGGCGGCGGCGGCGGCTCCAGGGCCCCCCCGGAAGAGTTGTCCATGTTCCAGCTGCCCACCCTCAACTTCTCGCCGGAGCAGGTGGCCAGCGTCTGCGAGACGCTGGAGGAGACGGGCGACATCGAGCGGCTGGGCCGCTTCCTCTGGTCGCTGCCCGTGGCCCCCGGGGCGTGCGAGGCCATCAACAAACACGAGTCGATCCTGCGCGCGCGCGCCGTCGTTGCCTTCCACACCGGCAACTTCCGCGACCTCTACCACATCCTGGAGAACCACAAGTTCACCAAGGAGTCTCACGGCAAGCTGCAGGCCATGTGGCTCGAGGCGCACTACCAGGAGGCCGAGAAGCTGCGCGGCCGCCCGCTCGGCCCGGTGGACAAGTACCGCGTGCGCAAGAAGTTCCCGCTGCCGCGCACCATCTGGGATGGCGAGCAGAAGACTCATTGCTTCAAGGAGCGGACTCGGAGCCTGCTGCGGGAGTGGTACCTGCAGGATCCCTACCCCAACCCCAGCAAGAAACGCGAACTGGCGCAGGCCACCGGCCTCACTCCCACACAAGTAGGCAACTGGTTTAAGAACCGGCGACAGCGTGACCGCGCCGCGGCGGCCAAGAACAGGTCAGTGGCGGGGACCGCGGCCGGGCCACAGCCTCCGGGGCTGGGGAAGGGGCGACGGGTTGAAATGCAGGCGATCCCGGCATGGTAGGGGCAGCTGACCCAGAGCTGGAGAAGCCGGGACTCTCTGGGTAGTTAGGGAAAGTTTTTGGTTGTCCTGGAACAGGGGACGACAGGCTGTGGGTTTATAGACTGCTCTCCCCAAGAGGGGCTTCTATCAGGGCCGGAACTGTGAAAGTGAGCCTCTTGTGTCCTCAACCCACGGTGCCCGTCCTTGGAAGCCTTGGTCCCCTGGCAGGTTTCCTCAGCCCTGGCTCCAGCTAGAAGGCTGGGAGGACAGGCAAACTCTATTTGCTATCTGATTATATCCACGCATCGCAAAAGAGGAGTGGGAAACCTTAGAGAGGTCCAGAAGCGTTCAAGAGGAGAAAGTGGACCAGGGACCCTGCCACAAAGGGAAGGCGGCCCGTGGCCACCATCCAGCGAGCTTCTTTCTCGGACCCTGAACAGGAGAGACAGGCTGGGTGCGAAGAGGCCTAGTGTGTTTTAATAAATGTGTTCACACAAGTGTGTCCGCTCCTGGTGTCCCTCAAGCATGAAGTCTCCCTGTGTCCTCCGTTAAGGAGCATCCATCCCTTCGGTCCACTTAGCTGGGAAGCAAACACCAGCAGGTGCAGCCCTGTTGCCAGCAAGTTGGTTACAAAGTTACAAAGTTGTTTGGGTTCTTGTCCATCTTTAAAGCTGGGCTGGGAGAAGTGAGTAGGAAAAGGAGAGGGGCTAGAGCAAATGAGTCCAAAGGAAAGGGAGAAAGAAGGGGTGGGGGTGGGGGGGACAGAGCAGAAGCTCGGATGCAGAGCCTCACTCGGCTTGAAAGGCACTAGGCCCGGGACGCTGCAGGGAGCAGAAGCCCCAGCTGCTGACAGCTGCTGGTGGCTGGAGATTTAGCGAGAGTACCTGGAGTAGGATGTGTGGGTTTAGGTGGTCCAGGCCTGAGGCCACTTCTCTCTCATCTCGGCCTGTGGAGGCCACTTTTCGCCAGATGGGGGGAACACCCAGGACCAGGGAAAGGCTTCCGTGTGGGGAGACACTGGGTTCAGGTAACTGGTTCTTCGCTCGGAAAAGAGACAGTCTGTCCGTCCCTCCTGCCTTCTCTTCGTTCCCTTTTCTGGCTGCTTTCTCGTCCTGCATCTTTTAGCTCCCACCTTCCCTATTTTCTCTTCCCCGGATCCTGCGCCCTCCGCATAGGGACTCAGAAAGTAAAACGGTGGATACTCTTGGGAGAGCCCCCCGCGGCTCTGGATGTGTGTTTGGGAAAGCCGTGGCTGGAGGCTCTGTGGAATTTCTGGGTCTCCAGGCGGCGGACCCAGTTACAAGAGCCTCCGAGGTTGCAGAGGAAGAGCGGAGCTCTTCTTCACTGTCTGCTGGTCCCGGGCTCAGCGTTCCTAGCCGCCTGCTCAGTTCTCCGCAGGCGGCTGGCTTGGGGTTCAACCCTTTCTCTAAGGCCGTCCCTATCTGGAACGCTTCCCTAAGCCAAGGAGCCAGGGAGCCAAGACTTAGGTTAAGAAGGCTCTGCGCTGCTCCGGGAGCAAGCAGTTGGGTGCCCCGAAGAACACAAAGCACAGTCGGGGGCAGATCGCTCCGGGCTAGCGACGCGGGAGGCCGCAGAGGCAGGGGAGTGCGGGACCCAGCCGGGCCAGGCTCCCCGCGGTGCAAGTGAGGGGGAGCAGGGTGGCGGGCCTTTGAGTGAGGGCAGGCACCGCTCTCTCTTTCCCGCAGGCTCCAGCACCAGGCCATCGGACCGAGCGGCATGCGCTCTCTGGCCGAGCCCGGCTGCCCCACGCACGGCTCGGCAGAGTCGCCGTCCACGGCGGCCAGCCCGACCACCAGTGTGTCCAGCCTGACGGAGCGCGCGGACACCGGCACTTCCATCCTCTCGGTAACCTCCAGCGACTCGGAATGTGATGTATGATAGCCAAGGCCGCCCTCCTCCTTCCCCTCCTCCCCCCCTCCACTCTCCCCTCCTCCTCCTCCTCCTAGCCCAGCTCCTCATCCTTCTGCTCCATCCCTAGAACAAACCGAAATCAGGATACACAGCCACACACACATACACACACACAAGTCCATACACACTCCCACCCCAGCCAAAAATTATATATATATATATATAAAACAAGAAAAATAAATTAACCTCAAACCATCAACAATCCCCCCACCACTACCTACCACCACGGCCACCCCAAAGGACCGCGACGCCAACAGACAGTCACAAACGCTAATGTTGCGGGCAGAAAACGTAAAAGAGGTGACAATTGTATACTTTCCAGGACAAGCACGGTTTCTCCTTTCGGTTCCCACGGACCCGGCACCCCACCTGCATGACGATTTATTTGTATCTGGGAAAATATTCTCTCTAGTTTAAAATGATTTAAGGAGTCGACCATACAAAAACCACCGCCGCCGCCGCGACAAGACGACAAAAGCAAACAGACAAAAAAAGGAAAAAAAAAATCTGACATCTCCGTTCTGAATTTGTTTTTTAAAAAGGAAAGAAAGAACTCCTCGAGAGAAATAGCAAATGTTTCTTCCTTCTGTTCTCTTTTCTCCTCTAGCTCTTTCTCTTTCTCTCTTTCTCTCTCTCTCTCTCTCTGTTTTTAAGTCCAAGTATTGGTCAAACAAGATAGAATCTTTTGTTTTTTGTTCAACAGACAATCATTTTCTTCGTAAGCACCTTTTTCTCTCCACTCTGTCACTGCCTGTGTGGGTACTGGTTATAAATGTGGAAAAAGAATAGTTATGACTGTAACAGATTTTTATTTTTATTTCAAAATTTTATATGAATTATGTATATCTTAATGATCGGTCATTTTCCCAGTTTGTAATATATGTGTAGAAATTGCTTGTATATGATACCTGCCTTTTCTTCCTCCTCTCTCCTCCCTCCTTCCCTGCTCACTCACCTCTTTCCTTTTGGGGGTTCCTCCTCCCACTCGGGGTCCCAGGCGACGACTTGGCAGTCGAGGCTTGGCGAGGTGGCCAGGGTTAGGGCGAGAGAGGGACCCTCCCGCTAGCGAAAGCTGAGTGAGGCCGTAGTATTCTTATGCAAAAGCTATTCAAGTTTTTCCTAGCCGCTTCGGAGGCCTCATTCACTCCCGTAGGGCGCTTTTACTGTTATCTTAACTGCGTGTTTATCTATATGTAAAAAACTTTCTAAAGCAAATACAGTATTCTCCATTTTCTTATCACTCCCAGAGACTGGTGTTTGTGTCCGCTCAGGCCGACAGTTCCCGGGTGCAGCGGCCCAGCCTCGGGCTTGCTTTCTCTAGCTCTGCGGCCCTCCAGAGCCTGAAGAAGGATGTCAAAGCTGGGTCCGAGATTTTTCTAGAAGCTGAGTCGAAAAACTGAGAACAAACACTTGCTGGGCAAGAGAGCTCCAGCAGCATCCTGAGAGGAAGGCCGAGAGGGCCCGAGGGATGGGGGTCACAACTAGTTTCGACCACGACAAGGTGTCAGGCCTGAACTCTTCCCCGAAGCGCTTGGCCCTGAGATTGCAGCGTCCGCGGCCCTGGTGGGTCCTTGGGATGTTTTGGTAGTCTCTGGTTGTTACTTTGCTTTTTTTAAAAATAGAAACACACACGGTCCCCTAACCCAAGCATCCGCCCTGGACACAGCTGAAATTTTGTCTTCGTTGCCCCCCCCCCCCTTTATGGAGGAGGCGTAAAATAGTTAACTATGGCCCGGGTGGGGGGGATAGGGACAGGGAAGAAGAAGTGGGTAGTTTTCTGACTTCAGGGCCTAAAATCAGGATGCTCTTGCCTCCCGCCTGCCTTCCTCACCACCCTTGTCTGACTGGGTCACTTGCCTTTATAGTCTGGACCTATCTGTTTGATTTTTTTCCCCCCCTTGTCTTTTGGAGTCACCCAGACTCCCTTCAGCTTCTGTGGGATTTTGGTGGGTTTGTATGGTTAAATGAAAGCCTGAAACAAAACAAAAACATCATCCCTTACTAACCACGTTCCTCTGCTGGCCCCAAGCTTCCTTGGCCGGCTGGGGCTACCCAGTTCCCAAGGATGGCTGCCTGGCAGGAAGCGGTTCTGCGGCTCTGGGCCAGGGCGGCCTGCGCTGCTCGAGGAGGGGCCAAAGAGGTAATTTCAGAAAACTTGCCTTCACTTGAAAGTTCAATTTCCAAGCTAGGAGGATTAGGGAGAAAAGGGCCTGGAATTTCGCTCCCGCTTCCAAACTAATTTTGACTTCCGATTTCCTTTTGTCTTTAGTCCCCACAGCACCAGGGGGGTTTACGTGGGCCGGCTTGGGCAGAGGGTCTGACTGGCCTGGAGGTGCCCTAGGTGCACGAGAGCGCATGCGCTTACACTGGGCGGAGGGTTCCTTAGGGGGTCCCTTCTTAGAATCAGGGCATCCAGCCGACTCCCCAGCCGGCCTGGCACACAATGTCAGAATCTCCGTGTGTGCCCACTGCCCATAGAAACAGTCCAGTGCAGCCATATTTCTGACGTCGCCAGGAGATTGGAAAGAGGCAATCTAAAACCCACCAGGCTTGGACCTCCATTCTGTAGCCTGCTCCTCACATACTTGACCCAGAACTTGGGCCTTTCAACCCAAAAGAAATGGCTGCCTCGGAGTAGACAATGTGGATGGACCCAGAGCAGCCAAGGAACCCAAACTGAGGGGTGTGGAAGGAAAGGGGCTGTCGCTGCTTCAGAGTGACTTCTGGAACAGACTAGACCCAGTGACATCAGGAGCAGGGGGCTTTTTGTGTGAGGACAAAGGGGAAAACTTGAGAGTTACACTTCTTTCTCTCATCATGGCCAGCAGAAAAAGCAAGTTTGGGTCAACTCCTTGCCTCTTCCTCCGCCGAAGAAAACAGCCACTGGACTTCACCAGCAAGCAGCCTTCACTTTGGAGGGTCTGTGCCCCGTTGGGTGTCACCAGCCTGTGGCCCCTGTCAATCACGCCTATATTTCTGCATAGGTCTGCCGCAAATACCAATGCCATGTTCCTTGCATTTTTCTGACTTTACCTACAGGTCTCCTGTGTGCTTGGTGTGAGTGCCTATGTGTGTGCCGTCCTAAAGCTGGGCTCTCGCCATTTCGTCAAATTCTGCATACAAAAAGGATGTATGCGTGTGCTAGATATAAATGCATGCATACTTCCTTGGCATGTGCCTAGCGTGGATTTTCATATATGCTGCATAGCTTAGGTGTAGTACTTATGTACAGAATGAGCGGCTTGCAAATTTCTAGTCTTGCAAGGAATATCACAGTGGCTCCGAGACACCTACAGGAGGGTACTGTGAGAAGGGGTTCTGTCTAGAGAATATGTGTCTCATGCATTTCAGGTTTTTTTTTTTTTATAGACATCTATGTTGACTTATTCTCGTCAGTCCGTGAACCTGAACAGTGAACCTGAACCGTGAACCTCAGTCCCCATCCCTAAGAATCTTCCTACCCCTCTAAGAAATGGGATGTGTGTGTGTGCGTGTGCGTGTGTGCGTGTGTGTGTGCATGTGCAGGTGTGAGAACCCACAACAGATGTTCATTGGCTAGTGTGGGTTGGTTGTTTCCTCCATTCACCTTTGCCCTTGATACATCAGTTATTACGGAGGATTTAACCCTTGCCCTTTCAAACACAGGGCAGAGGGAAAGGGGGGCCCATTTCTGGCCAGATCTCTCTTTTACCCAGAGCCTGTTCATTCTCTTTCCAGCCCCCAGAACTATGGCCAAAGCAGTCAAGGTCGCACAGGGACTGCTGGGGCAGAGCTGGATGGAGGAACAGTGCTGAGGTTCTCTTTGTACAGTACCTAACCTCCCGGAAGCAAAGCAAACTGTGCCTGAGCCAGGGGAGTGAGGGCCTCTGTGGCCCTGTTAACCACAGGGCCCCTCTATGTGGGCCACACAGCAGCTAACGGGCTGGCTCCCCTGAGCATCAGAGGGTTGAGACCCCTTCTCTGTGTACTGTGCATTTCTTCTGACCTCTCCTTGAGTGCATTTGGCTGAGAATGTTCCCAACGCAAGACCTCCCTAGATCTAGGTACTGGTTCTAGGGCAGTGTTTCTCAACCTGTGGGCTGCTACCCCTAGGGTCGCGTATTGGATGTTTATATTACAATTCATAGCGGTAGCAAAACTACAATTAGGAAGTGGCAACGAAGATAATGTTATGGTTGGGGGAGGGTCACCACAACATGAGGAACTGTATTAAAGGGTCGCGGCATTAGGAAGGTTGAGGACCACTGCTCTGGGGTCTACAGCTTGAGGAGTAACAATCCAATTTTCTCCCTCCAAACAAAAACCATAGTTATCTAGGATTTGTATCGGAAACCCAAACAGCAGATTGGACTGTGAAGCTGGGAAAATCTGTATCAAAGACCTCACACTTAGAATCCACCTATGTACTCCTTTTGGCTTGTTCACTTCTTAACCCACTTCCCTTCCTAGCCCCATCCCAGAGCTCCTATTCAGGCCCTCTTCTTGCCCTCTGAATCCTGCCAAAGTAACTGCCCAGTGCCAGTGAAGTTGATTATCCCTGGTGAGATGCACAACTGATTTAAAAGAAATGACCCGGAAGCTGCCACAGTACCACAGTGATCAATAGTGGAGCTGGATGGAGGCACAGGAGCCTGGTGGCAGGGCTGGGATTGGGGATGGTTGGGACTAGTGGCCCAACTTTGTCCCCAGAGCTGGTTCCAGTGCAGTGCTGGGAAGGCCAGTCTAAGGCCTAGGCAGGCCAAGTGGGAGGGAGTGTGGAGGCAGAGTAGTGGCCCCATCTTGTATTTCATTCAGCACACTGTAGTTTGGGGTTCAGAGAGGCTCACTTAGAGTGGCTGAAGATCTGACTCCCCATAGCTCACTACCAGTTTGTCACGGACACCCATGTGCTTCAAAAATGGAATGGAACTATCTGGTACATTTTGAACCTTGCAAGGATCACTAAGCCTACAGCCTATTGCCGAGCTTGTGGAGCATTGGCCATGCTCTAGTTCCTCCAGAGCAGGGATTGCCTCAGACTCTTCTCCCCGTCCTTGTCTTCCTTTACCACCCATCCGTCCGTCCGTCCGACCTTCCTGTACTGCCTGGTGTGGCTGTCACCTGGAGTACTGGCTGCCACCTCTGAGGATTTCGATGTCCTCCCTGGACACTGAGGCGGAGTCCTCCAGCCTATGAAGACCATTGAGCTGCAAGTCCTCGAGCATGGGCCCCCTCGCCTCCCACTGCCAGGTCTTTTTCCGGGGGGGGGGGTGGGGGGCAGCTGAGCTAAACTGAGCCTTCCTGGTCCCAGCCAGCCGGCTGGGACGGCTGTCTGGCCTAAGGGGGAGGGGGGGGGGTGAGGGAGTCTGGGAGGAGGGTAGTAGTACATGCCCAGCTCCAATTTCTCCGGTCAGCTGAGCACAACTTTCCATTCGAGTGTATTCATGCGGTTGCTGATTGAGCTCTACAGTGTCAGGAAGGACTCGGCGGGAGGGGGCAGGCACAGCCAGGCTGACAGAGGCTACACCACACACACACACACACACACACACACACACACACACACACACACACACACACACTTATACAAATATACCCTAGTCACATGTATACACACCTTGCTTCCAGCCATTTCTGCAGAAATACAGCTTACACACACACACACACACACACACACCCCTGCTACCAGAACAATTTCCCAGCACCCATAGGTCTACCCTACACAACACACAGCCGATCTTTCTGCTTTACCCCTTATAGAGTCCACATCAGTACTCAAAACACCAATGCAAGCATCCTCGACATCTCTCCTCCCTGCAGGTACTCTCTCCGGGACGCACATGCTCCAAACCTGCATGGATGCACACACAAACACGCCCGGTCTTACAATCTTCCTCCCACAGAGCTATCCAGACTCACACCACAATAGAACTGCACACTCGTGTAAAGCACCATTAGCACCCACAGACCGGTAAAACACAGTCTGTTGCACGGAGAGGGCTGGGACTCACCGGAAGTTCGTACACGGGAGAGGCTTCAGAAGAGTGATTGATTCATTTGAAGAACACAGCCATGGCATATTCACGAAGACAGGATGTTTGAGGAACCTTCAGACACCTGCCGACAGAGGAGCCAACCCAAAGACATTACCTTGTCCCTCAGGTCACTTGCCCTCCGCTACACAGCCTGTCTGGGCACCTCAGAGACCACTTCTCTCAACCTCATCCACTTCCAGAGATGACCCCCCCCACCCAAACCCCA